CGCGTGGGCGGGGGGGGGGGGGGGGGAGCAGGGGTTGGGAGGGCAGGGTGTGATGTGGGGGACCGGTGACCCTGCCCGTTCTTCCCATCCCCGCCCCCAACAAACACCTGGCGCGGGTTCAGGGCTCGGGTTCCTCCTGGCGGGGCAGCAGTTGCCAGACTCTGGGCCGTTACCATGGAGACGCGGGTGAAGTCCCCTCCATGGCGACGGTCGCCATGGGGACGGCGTGCTCTGGCGCCCTCTGGCGACCGCATGCGGGGCTGCGGGAGGCGCAGGGCGGCCCCCTGCCTCCCTTATCTAGTCCTTTCCTTCCCACAGCGCGAGCGTTTAAAAAACATCGAGCGCATCTGCTGCCTCCTGAGGAAGGTCAGTGTCGGGAGTCGGAAGCGCCAGTGCTGCCCTCACCCTCTGCCCACAGCGAGGCCTCCTCTCTGAGCCACCAGGGAGGGAGGGAGAGCATGGCCCGCCTGAGCCTTTGCGGTCTGAGGTCGTGATGGTTGGCACCTCCTGACCCCATTACCCCTCCGTGCCACGGAGGCTTGGGTAGGTCCTGGCACCAGGCCACTGACCTCTCGCCCTCCCTCCCCCAGCTGGTGGTCCCGGAATACTCCATCCACGGCCTCTTCTGTCTGATGTTTCTGTGTGCAGCAGAGTGGGTGACCCTGGGCCTCAACATCCCCCTCCTCTTCTATCACCTCTGGAGGTGAGGGCAGCAGCTGTCCGGGGGAGGCTGCCATGGGGGCAGGACAGGATGGAGGTGAGACCTAGGTGGCTGTGGGGGGCACTCAGTCCTCACTCATCCCAGGTATTTCCACCGTCCTGCGGATGGCTCTGAGGTCATGTATGATGCGGTCTCCATCATGAATGCTGACATCCTCAACTACTGCCAGAAGGAGTCCTGGTGCAAACTGGCCTTCTACCTGCTCTCCTTCTTCTATTACCTGTACAGGTGAGGCCCTGGCCACAGCAGCTGGGACCAGGCAAGGGGTATCCCAGGCTTCCAATGCCAAGTCCCCTCTTTGCCCCTGAGGACTGTAGGCAACCCAGGGTGTGACTGGGAGGGTGGCAGGTGTGCTCAGGACACAAGTTCATGGCCTCATCTCCCCACAGTATGGTTTATACGTTGGTGAGCTTCTAAGGGGGAAGCCGGCCAGGGAGCAAGCCCAGAACGGACCGGACGCCTGTGCACCCCCAGCCCTGCCCCTCCAGCCACAGAGGCCCCAGCCCTGGGGAGGGAGGGGGCACTGGTGCCCCTAGCCTCTCCATCCCCCAAACTGCTGCTGCGGGGAACCCCCGCCTTCAGAGTCCTCCCCCTCAGACTAGGGCCAGGCAAAGCTCTAAACAGGGGTGGGGGCTCCTCTGCCAGCCTGCAGCTAGGCATGGCAGTTGTCCTGGAGGGGGTAGAACTTCCGGCCTTCTGCATTTCAGGGGAAATTTATGCCCTGCCCCAGGCAGCGCTTAACCCTGGAGATTCTGGGCTGCCCCTCTCCACTCCCACCCTGAGGCTCCCCCTGCAGGTGGGGGGGCACCCGCACCAGGAATGAGCAGGCTCAACATGGGGGCAATCCTATCCCTAGTCTGCCCTCTCCCCTCTCCAGGCTCTCTTCAACCCTGTCTCTCCTTGTCCCAACCCCAGCCCACCCTGTCTCTTGGACCTATTTTCTATGTTGCCTGGAGGAGTCCAGCACCCCCTCCCCGGCCATTTGTGACAAAATATGAATAAATTACTGCAAACACATGGGCCCCAGTTCTGCTCCTAAAAACCCTGAAGAGATGGGGGGTGAGATGGAAAACTCTGAAGAGGGAAATTCAGAGGTAAATCCCCAGCACAGCAAGTCCCCCTACTAGCCCAAGCTCCTCTGGGAGGTCCAAGCCACCCCTTTCGGGCTCTATCTGTGAAGTAACTCTCCTAGCTGCCTTTGAAGACAGTGTCAAGATCACTTCCCAGAAGTCATCCCTGGACCCACCCCTTTCCTTAAGCAGCCCAGGCTGGGTTCCTTGGTCAAAGGAGAGGCCCAAAAGTGTCTGCAGCTCCCCCTTGGGCCCCAGGAACCAGGGTCAAGCCAAGTCAAGGAAATCAAATCTTCAATGTATGGAAAAAACAGTGCCACCTGGGACCAGGGGTCACCGAACCAGGTGGAAGGTCAGCCAGTATATGATGAGGGGCTGGAAGGCAGCAGCTCCCAGAGTCAGATAGAGCTGAAGATGTTTTCTAGGGCCTGGGCCCCCGATGGTGTCAGGGCCCAGGGCTGCAGTCCGCAAAGAACGCACCTGGAAAAAAAAGGAGTGCTCAAGTTGGGCCAGGAGAGAAGGCTTGTCCCAGCGCTGACCCGGAAAAGCCGGGGGGCAGCCACACTCACAATGAAGTACATGAGCGCAGATGATGTCCAAGCCAGAGCCACATAGTAGCCATCACTGCCGAATAGCAGTCCTGTGAGCACACTGAGGATCATCCTGGGGGGAGGAAGACCGGTGACCCCAAAGTCCAGGCCCAACACTGGCCCTACCCACCTATCACCATGACCCTTGACTACCAGGCTGTCTCCACCAAGACCCAGATTCAAAATGGGTCTGCAAGGCTCAGGATTCAGCCTCTACCTGAAACTCCCTTCTCTCCAATAGGCTTCCCGAGGTAACTGTCACAGATCCCCAACCTCCTTAAAGTCACTAGTTCCATGGGCAAGACTGTTGGAAACAGCCATCTATCTCACAGAGTAGAGCTGGAGGTTGAAAACAGGTAGAGACCATGTCCTGGGTCACACTGAAGGCTGCTACTATGCAGGCCCTTCCTCCAAACCCCCCTCCTCAGCCCACAGGCACTCACCCCACATATTTGTAACCACTGTAGGCCAGCAGGTGGAAAGTGCTCAGTTCACTGCGTACAGTGGCCAGGTAGAGGCCCAAGAGCAGGGCCAGCACCTCCATCACCACCCACACCAGTGCCGTGCTCGCACACAGGCCCAACACCTCTGGAGAGAACCTAAAGCCATGGGAAAAAGCAGAATGTGCCATCCTGTGGCAGGCGTGAGTGAGAGGCTAAGGACAGCAGGGGATGACCTGGCACAGATCCCCTACAAGGAGGGAGAGGGGTGGCACCAACCTTTTCTGAATGCCAAGTGCCATCCCAGCCAGTAGCACGTAGGTGATGAAGGCCATGGCTGCCAAAAGTGGGAAGGAAGCAGTCAGTCTGGCTTCCTCACTCAAAGCCCCTCGAAAGGGATTCAAGACCACAACACTCTAGCTTTTCTCATACTGCCCTCCAGCATATCCTAATATGACTTGGCTGTCACATTCGGGTACCCAATGCTCTGTCCTGATGTATTTCTCTACCTACCCTCTCCTTGACTGAATACCCCATGACCTCCCAGGACCATAAGCTTTCCCTCTCCCTGCACTAGGAAGCCCATCAGCTTCCTGTAGTATCTCAGAAGCTGTACAATGGGCCAAGACCATTGCTTATCCTAAAGGTACCAGCCTGATCTCTGGAGAGACTATAGAAGCAAAAAGTGATAACCTGAGCCAGGCGTGGTAGCACACGCCTTTAATCCCAGCACTCGGGAGGCAGAGGCAGGTGGGTCTCTGTGAGTTCAAGGCCAGCCTGGTCTACATAGTAAGTTCCAGGACAGCTGGGGCTACAGGGAGACCCTGTCTCAAAAAGACCAAAAAAAAAAAAAAAAGTAATAACCTGGACTTGTAGGATCCAAGGCCATTGGGATAGCCTTCCCCTCAGCCAGCAAGTCTAAGGCTGGTCACTGCCACTAGCTATATACAGTTCCCTGACTATGCAGAGAACTCAAGTTTTGGGCAATTTTCACAGGTGCTCAGAGCCACGGGGAACCAGGCTTTAATAGGAATTTCAACTCCTCAATCCCATTCTCTGTCCCCTCTTGAGGCACCAGATTGATGTGGCCACCAGAGGGTATATTGTCTAGCATCGGGAAATCAGCTTTGCCACCTGTAAGCTGTCATACTGAAGTCCCTATGAGCCTTAGCTTCAATGGATAATGTGGGATGACTGCCAGTCTTGTAACTGGCTATCAGAGGAATGAAGGCTGGAGGCCCCTCAGCAGGCTGCCCTTCCTGGCAGCTCCTCTGGAGCTCCCCCAGCACATTTGCTCTCTCCTTCCATGTGTGCACTCAGCCTGGCCCTGTGTAGCCAATAGAGCAGGGAAGAGTCAGCTGCCATGTGGGCAGCCTGACAAGTGCCATGTGGACAGGCAGCTGGGATGCAGAAGCAAGGGAACACTTGCTCCAGGGGTCAGACTTCCTGGAGGAAGGGATGCTGGGACAGGTCTCAAAGGATGGGTAATAATGATAACAGCAGCTGTATCAAAGGATTCCTGCTTTACTGAAAGCTGTAAGAACCAGCTTCAAGTCCTATACTTGGAAGTGGCTGATCCAAGTCAAAAGCCCTAACTCCAGGCTGGAGGAGGACTGGGTCCAAATGAAAAGGCGAGAAGGTCACAAGTGTTAGGGAAAGACTGAAGGCACATTCAGGAAGTTCCTTACTGGTCACCTGTCAACCTGATGTTTAGCAACTGTCACACAGAAAAAGCACCAGGAATGGATGTTGCATCAATATTTGAGCCTGTTTCTCCCAGTCATGCTTCAAGGCACAAGTCTTCCTCTGTCCCCCAAGCCCAGGTCAGAGACTCACTGGGGAGTCCCCCTGTGTCCCCAAGCCCAGGTCAGAGACTCACTGGGGATGTAGAGGTCAGGGGCGTTGAGGTCTTTCCGTGGGGGCAGAGGCATATCACGACTATACTGTACTTCCCAGTTCTGGAGGTGGCAGAGGTGGGCCAGTCAGCAGGAGCAGAGGAAAAAATAGGAGATGGGAATTGAGGTCTGAGGGTCAAGCTGTTGAGGGTGAGGGTCAGGGGAGGGGGACATGCCAGTTCACCTGGTAGGAAGCTCACCTGATGAGTATAGGGGAAAACCAGGAGTCCTAGCTTCTTGGCCACATAGGCTGTGTCCACAGTGAAAAAATACTTGAGTTTGTTCACAGACACAAAACGGTGTAGCTGGAAGCAAAGACAAGAGGCTGTGGATGAGCCATACTGTGCTTCTCCCTAAAGATCCCTGGTGAGAGTCAGGTGGGATCCCATGCTACCCTAACCCTAGCCAGAAACCCTGACACCCTTTCCCTAGGGGCAGGCCACACCTCCTTGTGCACCATGTCCTTCCCTTGGGATGCAATGGAGATGCCATAGGCTGTAGCGATGTTGGCCATTGGGTCCCCAAGCAAGTGGTTGACATTGAAGGCCACATCAGCTCCTGGGGCTGGGTATCCACCTGGCTGGCTGGAATAGCCACCACTTGTGTCATCGAAGAGGGGAGGAGGCTCTGGAGCTGCCCGGGCCCTGTGTTTGGAACCTGTGGAGTTGGAGGTACCAGAGTAGATGACAGAAATGCTATGCATGGACCCAAACCACAGCCCCTTTCCCTGACCTGAGAAACCGTGCATGGGTTCTAGGGGTCACCAAGCAATTGCAATTGTTGAGAAAAAGGCAGGCTGGGTTTTAAGAAAGAATGACACTTTTGGAGAAATCTTGAACTGTATACAGGAAAACCTGGACGTGGCTGCCCGTCTAGGGTTTCTGGGAGCTTCTCAAGGGAAGTGATCCCTAACTGAGCTCTAGAGGGTGTGCAAAAGTTGGCTTGGGGTAAGATCACCAGTACGGCATTCCTGCGTGAACACGGGTAGAAAAGGCCACACTGGCTACCCGGAGTCTCTGGGCAGTGGTCTGGAACGCTGCCAGGGTTATAACAGAGAAAGTAAGTTCTGGACGAGAACCCCATTCGTGCAGAGTCAGACTTGGGGATCCCAGCTCTGCTGTCACTCGCCTGATCTCAGCGCTGGCCAGAAAGGGCGAAGTCCGGGATGCGTTGTAGCGTCCGGGCGGGAACCCGAGTGACACCCCCAACCCGGGTCGGCGGTCACCGCAGCCCCTCTCTCCCTCCCGGGGAGCGGACTGTGCAGCCCCGCAGCAGGCCGCGCCCCGCCCTCCCCACCCTGCACGCACCGTGGGCTCCGTAGCCCGAGTGATAAGCCATGGCCGCGACGCTCGCTCTCCCCGAGGGCCTCACAGGGACGAACACCAATAAAACAGCTGCTTCTCTTGCCCAGCACAGACCGAAGTTACCCAACAGCCTACACTTTACCGGGTCGGCCGATCGCGGCCGCCATATCCGCAGCGTCACCCTTTGCAGGCCGCCATTGGTTGCTCCACCGCTCCGGCCAGCCCCCTTCTCCCTCCCAATTGGCTATTGGAGAGCCCTCGCCGAAGCGGATTGGGTAGGAGTAGACTTCCGGGAGGGGAGGAAGGCGGGGCGATGTGAGACGCTCTGGGATTGGGTAGGAAGCTTGCTAATTCGCCGCGGGACCAGCCAATAGGGGGGGGTGGTAAAGTTGTGAATTCCTTCCGCGTCTGCGCTGTGGCGTGCTAGACTCTGCCACGACGACACCCGGGAGAAGACAGCCCGAGACTGGCACGACAGAGTCCGGGCGCCGAGCTGCCCCAGCGGGACGTGGTCCAGGAGGAGGGGGCGGCCGTGCTCCGACCCGTCCAGGCCCTCCCTCCCGGTGCTCGCTTTCCTCCAGTTCACCCAGTCCAGGCTCACTGGGATGTGTTGCTGTGGTCCAAACCCGGCCGGAGCTCCATCTGCTGGCTCCTCCTCCCGCCTCCCACCAGTCCTTTCGGAGCGGGTGCTGTCCGTCATCCGGTGCTGAAAATGCCCTCCCATCGACGCCGCCATCCTGCTGACCCGTGAGGACCTCTGCTGGGAGGACATGGGATCGCGTTCCTTGCAGTGCGCGTGCACACAAACACACGCACACGCACACACACACACACACACACACACACACACACACACACACAAAGTTCCAGAGATCCGGTGGTATGGATGGGGCGGGAATCTGCATTGGGTCTGTCGCATCCAGGATTGGGGGACCGAGGTGTGCTGATCTGTCTCCTGAAGCTGCAGCCGAAAGTCCTGAGTCATCGCTGGTCCTGCGGATCTCAAAGTGAGGCCCTTAAGCCTCACTCTAGTCTCAAAGACTCTTTTCTTTCCACCTAGGCTGTGACCACTCCCAACTCTCACTGGAAACAGTCTTCAAGGGCCTCCCTCTAACAGACTTTCAGGCACCTAGTAAACAGGATCACACCCCCTGAGACTTGCAGCTAATTAGCTACCAGTGTCTAGTTACATTAGTTGACCTTCCTGCTCCCCAAACTGACCTCACTCGGCCCAACTGCTGTTTTTGCCTCTCCACCTGGGATGCTCTTTCCCCTCCTACCCATTTGTCCAAAGCCTCTCAGAGTCACTTAAGCCAGCAAGATAGCTCAGCAGATAAAGGCACCTGCTGCCAAGCCTGACCACCTGAGTTCAGTCCCCAAGACCCACATGGTAGAGAGAACCGATTCCTGAATGCTGTCCTGTGACTTCCATTCTTGTGCCAGTCGAACACACATATAAACACACACACACAAATAAATTAATAAAAATTTAATTACAGGGGCTGGAGAGATGGCTCAGCAGTTAAGAGTGCTGGTTACTCTTGTAGGGGACCCTGGTTTGATTCCCAGCAGCCATATGGTGACTAACAACGAGCAGTAACTCCAATTCTAGGGGATCTGACACCTTCTGACTTCCAGGCACTGCACAACACAGGTGCACTTACATACATGCAGACAATACACTCATGCACATAAAATAAAAATAATAAATATATTTTAAATGTAGTTAATTTTTTTTCTTTAAATGAGCCACTTTAGCTCTTGCAGAGGGACAAAGAGAACAGAGACCTGGCCTGGTCAGGAGTGGAGGCCAGGGTGGGAGTTCCAGCCCCTCATTAACTAGACTTTTCCTTGAATGTAGGATTCATGAGGACAGGGACTGTGTCATTCTCCATTCCTACCCTATCCTTCCGGTGCCCAAGCACAGTAATTAAATCTAGAAGACATCAACTAACATATGTAGAATAAATAATAGATAACAGGACAAAACCAGCATCTCAGTTATGCCATCTTTCAACATATAACCAAATGGTCTTAGAGTTACCCTTTGTTCTAACACAAATGCACACTTGAATAACCCATCCAGTGTTGCAGCTGCCTCCATCCCACCCACTGATTTTCTAGCTTGGGAGCAAGGCCCAGACCCAAGCCTGGGTATGAGGGACCCAGCCCCTTGAAGTCCAGGGAGCAGCACCTGGGGTCTTATGTACATGTGTCCCATGCCAGACACATCCCACCCCAACTCCCTCCTGCTCATGAAATGAATTCAACATTTTCCATCCCCATTTCTCAGATGGAAAAACTGAGTTTGGGACTGATGCATGCTGGCCAAAGGTCACGCAGCCTAGAGTCCCTAATACCCTTGTGCCCAGTCGACCTGCCCTTGAGCAGAGCCCAGCGGATGACACTCATCTCACCCCTCTGGGCTGTAACTGCCCACTTCCCCATCTAGCAAAGTTGGGGTGCGGTCTGGGTGGGCTTTGCTCTGGTCCCGGCGGGCGTTCAGGTCCACCTGCACGTGGCACAGCCTGGCACGTTCATAGAACAAGGACTCGCCCAAGGTCGCCAACGCCAGCAGGAGAACCCAGGCGCTCGGCCGCCCAGGCTGTGGCCTTCCCAGCGGCGGGGGGCGCCGGCGGTGCCAGGCGCGGCCCTCGGCGCCGCTGGTGCCGCGGGGGCGGGGT